TACTTTTAGAGAACTCAATAATTTGTATTTTTAAGACAAAGGATCCTTTAACTCTGAAGGTTATCTATGATTTCTACTAAACATTCAAATCTTTATTCAACTAAAAAGGCTCCTTGGAAACACCAACCTTAACGTAAGGGTAGCAACACGACTAATCAATAATTTGGACTGTAATGTTCTATACTAGTTTGCAAGCTAGTACAGACTTATAGCATCCTGTAATGTTCTATACAAATGCCAAAAAAATAGTGAAACAAAAGAAGCAAAATCTTAGCTAATAGGATAGGTGCCCTTGGGATATTCTTAGGAGGTCAATTCTCTTAATAGATTTGGTTGCCTTTGTTTCCACTTTGTGCCTACCTTTCTATCCTTTTTCTCTTCCTTGCGTAATTTCCGTTCTTTGTTTTTCCTATTCCGTAATTTAGAATTGAATTAAAGAAGGTCCTACTATGTAAAGAGGATCAACCATCGCAAAGAAAAACACAAAAAAAGGATAAAATAATGTATGATCCTATCTATCTTAAAGTATTTGCGATGTCCAACACATTTTTAATTGTCTTCCTGTGGATTGAAAGAAATAACATACAAAGGTTGATCAACGATGAAAGACTGGAAAATTCAGTCATTTAACTTACCAGCTAATATACCACCAGGAACAACTGGTGGGGCGCTCTCTGGATGCAAGGATACATTTCCACTGAAAAGTAACATCAGAAACTGATCATTAAATAAGAATTCTTCTTGAGACGGTTAACAAAGTATGAAGAATATATAACTTAACAAAAGAGATGTGTATGAGAGATATCAGTTCAATCTGAAAAGGTTCTATTTCAATTTTTCGACCCCTTGTATTTTGAGTTAAGAACAATAGAATTGTGTACTTAAGAAAGAGGAAGAAGCACCAATCAATAGTGACCTAAGCTATCAGGAAGACGAATTTTACCATTCATATTTGCAAGAAAAAAGAAGGGGAACATGGATACTTGTTCTGGAATTAGGGATGTACATAGCAAGTCACACCCCAATCCAAAGAACAAAAGATGACGAGAAGTTGATCATCCACATTTTGAATTCATAAAATGCACGATAGCAAAATCAAATTCAGTTAGTGCCAACAGTTGAAAGTGTCCATTTTATCATAAGGGACATAATGGATGAACCATGGATGAAAAACTTCAACGGATGGTAGAAGTACAGTGAATCCAATGATAACATTTTCTGTAGATCATAGAAAGAGAAACATACCAAAATGGATAGTAATATATTGTTATAGGGGTGTCAATTAAACTCAGTGGCAGACACAGAGGAGAAATAAAGTGATTTATTTTGCTTAGCAAGGAGCCATCGGAATTTCTTTTCTCCCTCTGCACCATCCAATAAGCAGCACGGCGCTGGTAAGGTCTAAGCTTAGGAAGCAAACCAGGGAGGTCATCATCAAACATCGGCTCCTCCCTGCAGACAACATCACAAATGAAAGCCAAGTATGAGGAAATTTGCATATATCCAACATAAATTGAAACTTAAGTCAGCAGAACCACTCATTTTGATGGCTTAATAGCTTCATAGAAACTAGCTACATCAAACCTAGAAAGTTTCCTTGCAGAAGAAGAACTTTCATCCAGCCCCGAAGCTAGACCAATATCCGCATGTGCTGCCACCTGGTATCCATATCTAGCCTCTGCTATGACAACCTCTGGACGTAGCCAAGCCATCACATTCATCATGCTCTTTTTCCATAGCTGTCTGGATGTATCCAGAAGTGACTCACACCCATCAAAGGCACTTTTCAAAATCTTGACCTTCATCCGTATAGATGCTAAATAACTCGGAACAATAACAGGCCTCAATGTGAAGAACTTCAAACTAGCCAGATGGACTAACCCTGATATACCCTCATCAGGTCCATCAAAACTTCCCTCTATCAACACAACTGTTTCCTCCAAACCCTCTTTCTCCTGCTTTGCTACAATTTCAAGACATACACTAGTAGCAGATAATACAAGCCAATGACCTAACTTTATCCTAGTAAGATGCTCATTAACATTACTGACCCTAAACCTTAATAAATACCTAGAATCCCTGAAAAAATCCTCATCCAATAAACAAGTACCAAATTCATCACTAACATTCAAGTCTAATAAAACAATTTCAGAGATACCCATATGTTTGTCCGATAACCAATTAGACCTATCAATTTCAACAAAAAATGGCACATCAACTACAAAAAACTCATCTTTTTCCGCAGTTCCAGCATCTGTTTCACCGTTTAATTTCCCTTTAGGAACTTCTCCTTCCAAAATTCCAACAGAACGATTTGGCTTAGATTTCTTCCGACCCATTGCAGTAACAAGTAAGATATACAAAGTGCAATGCGGTTAACGGATAAAAACCAATCCTTTATTCTTATTCGAACAACCAAGAACCTGTAAATAATAAAGAGTCTCACATGAACTAACAAATATTTGGTACATAATTTGAACGGTTTCTCGGAAAACCAATAGAAGTGAAATAAGCTACAAAATTTCTGAGGTGAATTCTGTAGAGAATTGAAAAAAAAAACTACTCTACTAGTACAAGCGACAGAAGGCACTTTCATCCACACTTTAGTTCTTCAGCTAAGCTCTTTAAATTTTTCAGATTCCACACTTTAGTTCTTCGATCCACAGTTCTTAAGCTTCAACATTTCATCCCTTTGAGAAAATCATGTTCTAGAGAAGACAATCTGCAACTCAGATGTTGATCAGCACTTCAGTTAACCTAAGTTCTTCAGCTCAACTACGTTCTTCAGTCAGCTACGTTCTTCAGCTTGCTCTCATCGATCTTCACTTCAGCTACGTTCTTCAGCTGCTCTTTAGAAATGGATGTTTTTAGAAACTTTTGGAAGCCCTGTTCCAGAAAAAAAAAGAGAGAGAGAAGTTTTTGGAAATGTTTTATTAATAATTTTTTTGGCCAATAAAATATGGGAGGGAGAGTTGAAAATGTTGGAGGGAATATAAAATTTTAGTGAAAAATTTAGGCCACACTTGTTATGTGTGGTTTTTACAATTGTAAAAAGTAGCACACTTTAAAAGTGTGGTCATATATGTAAATAGATGTTGCCATTTATTTCATATTATGACAACGCTTACAAAGTGTAACCAATACCATTAAAGAGTATGCTTTACTAGTGTTGCTAATATTGTCGTTGCCAAAAGTTAAAAATTTAGGTTACATTTTAAAAGTGTTCCCAAAAATATTTTAGGCAACACTTTTTAAGTGTTGCTCAGATTTGGTGTGGCCGTAGGCATAAAATGGTGTAGTGTATGTACACTACTTGTGAGATCGAACGGAGCATTTTATTATTGTTTTATATTAGACAAGGGCAAATTCGAAACAAACAAATATCAATAAGCCAATAGTAGATATATTATAAATTTCAAGGGCATCTAAGCAACAAACCAATTACAAATATATAGGTACTTCTTCGTCTTCCTTTCTATACGTTCGATTCAATTTCTTATTATTTTTTTTCATCACATAATAATAATATCAGCAAATTTCTACAAAAATCAACAATTTTTTCTTCAGATTTCTTTGCGATTTCAAGATACATATTATACAGGATTTATACAAATCAATATACTGAGATATACATCTGTTATTGTAGAGTTTTTCAAGTGCCAGGAAGTGAGCTATGGGTTACAAAAAAGGAGGAAGATTCATGGCGGAAGAGGAGAACGGCGTCGGTGCTACACTGAGAGATGCTTTGTTATTTACTACTATGTGTATTGTTGGGCTACCGGTTAATGTTTATATCAAAGATGGTGGTGTTTATTCGGGTATTTTTCACACTGCTTGTGTAGATGATGAATATGGTGAGTTTTCTCGACACCCTTTTCGTTTTTATCATGACCCTTTAGCTATTTTGTGATTTTTGATTATAGGTTGTTGTTGTTGTGGGTTTATTGTTTGGAGTAGATCAGTTTCGGCATCCGATCTGGATGTTTCCATGGTTTTGTTTTGTTGTGTCCTGTTGTATACCTTTCTCATTTATCATTTGTTGGGGTGAGCTGATTAGATGGCATATGAACATGACCTTAGATATAGGCGTTTTAAGCTTTATGATGACATGAACTTAGATAAGAGGGTGTGGAACACTCTGATAAGGATAGTAGGTTAGTTGGTCAGCTTCAGTTTACGAGGACATGGCGTTAGATAGGAGGGTGTGAAGCACTTAGATTAGCTTAGTAGGTAGCAGTCCCTTGTATTGTTGTCCAGTTACATTAGTATAGTCATAATATTGCTCCTTTAGTTTCCTATTCTTTGATGTTTGTTACTTATATATAGATTCCTTGTACCTTGATTATCGTTCTATTTTGTTGTAGTTCCTGTTCTGCTGCTATGTATTGTTTTATTATTATTTGTTGATTCTTGTACTTTTGTTATTTTTTTTTTCTGGATTGTTTTGGACTCTTTTTTCTTGAGCTGATGGTCTTATCGAAAATAGCCCCCTACCTGTGAGGTAGAATATGATTTGTGTACACTCAACCCTCCCCAGACCGTAGTTCGTGGGACTGCAATGAATATGTTGTATTTTTCCATATTTTCATTTCAAATGACGAATGTGAGAACATTCCAGTCTTTGATTCTGTACATTTTATGGCTTTTATAGAAAGGAATAGTGTGGAATGATTATGTAGGGTTCATACAATTGGTTTCAATAATTTAGGATTTAAGGGTTAGTTGATTTGAGTTATTGATTGCGGTATTTAAGGTTGCATTTATTAAGAGTTTAGCTTACCAAGTTAGGGACTTGCAAGAGTTCTGATTATCCTCTCTCTCTTTTGATACATGGATTAGCTATTGTTTTGAAGAGGGCGAAGATGATTAAGAAGGGTAGTCGAGAGGCGAATGTAGCACGTGGAAGTTTGATAGAGACACTCGTAATTCTGTCTGAAGATCTTGTCCAAGTTGTCGCAAAGGTATGCTTTTAGACATTCCAATTTGCAAGTCTATTTGTTTATTATATGGTGGTCCTTTTTTAACTGCTGATACCTGTGCTTTGCAGGGGGTTATGCTATCTGCTGATTGTATTCAAGGACATTTAGATGGGGATAATGCAAGAACTGTTTGTAGCAATATAACTTATCCTGAATACACCAAAAAGGAGATGAAAGCAACAAAGTCCAAGGTGTCTACCGTGGATGGAGAGAAAGCTAGTAAAGAAAGGTTTGTGTTGGCAAGACTCACTATTGATTCATTGTTGGAAGTGCCTCATGATCTATTAGCTTTTGCATGGAAAAGCCTCTTAATGTTCTGGCAGACATGACTTTGGCTTGTTCTTCATATTTGCAATTAAATTATTGAAAGCAAGTGATGAATATATAGAGCAGATAAGTAATAATGTTAAAGTTAATCTCTTAATCAGTTTGGTTATCTATCTTTTGTTTCATAGATAGGCTGATAAGTGAAGTTGGAAAGCTTGTTCACCCAAATGTATTTGTTTGTCGTATCACTAGCCTTGTGATGACTAAATAGATGATGTTCTGGGAGGAGTGTAATGTGATAGGAAGATACCAAATAAAGTGATAAGAAAGCTCTATATAATAGCGTTGATAAAAGCCCGCTTAAGGTGCACTTAAACCTTGAAACTCAGGGGACTTCAAGTGAGGCAGTTCACCTTATTTAAGTTGCATCTTAGAACGGCATCATGCACACATGGTCTCCATCTTTAAAAGAACGATACTTCAAATAAATTTTGATAATATTATTGTTTGACAATTTTTTTGACAGATAAAAGTATTATTGATTAAGAATGCTAGAGTAGAAACTCAGTGAGAATTCTTTATAAAAAAAAAAACTCTTTATCAAAAAATAAACTTAGTGAGAATTACTGAGTCACTAGGCTAAACGTGAAAGTTGTATTTGAGCCATTAATTTTATGTAATTTCTGAACTTGATTGATATGGTTTTCTCTTCATAAATTGCAAATTCACAATATTTGGTTCAAATCATTGTTTGTCGTGTTTGTAATTTTTTTCTTGCTTTGCTGTATACTTTGATCTTCTTCTTTATTTCGTGCATTTCTGCACTATAACATGCATGCTTTTCTACGGGTTTTGCTGTTGATAACGAGGGTACATGCACACGTAAATGAGAAAAAGGAGAGATAATTACTTAGTGAGATGGTAAAGCACGTAAAATCAGATCCATATTAAGAGGGTTTTTTTCTGATGAACTAAATATAACAGAAGGGAAAAAACTAGGCAGACCTGTGCTTTTGTAGTGCTTGCTCTCTATGATGTATACATACTTCCTGAAGGTTTTTCTCTCTCTTTTTAGAGGGGCTGTGATTTCTTTAGCAAAATTAGGTGTAAAGTCAAAATTGGAGTTCTCTGGCATAAATTACTTTAATCGTCTTATTATCTAATTACTGCTGAATCAACACAATGGTTCGCCAATATTTGCAGTATTCCTATCAGATGAAATATAAATTTCGGGAAAGTCGCCTCAATATCTGATATCTGTTGGGTTTCT